AGATACACTGCAGCTGACCCAAGGCGCAGAAGAGCCTTTTCTAGGCTATGTTTATCTCCTTTGTCCCTAACTATGACAAATATATATATTATATATATGCAGGTATGTATGTATATATATATATATATATATGCAGGTATGTATGTATGTATATATATATATATATGCAGGTAAAAATAAATGGTTGGAAGATGTAAAAATATGAACCAAAAAGATTTATTTACAGAATAAAAAAAAATTAAGTCAGTCCTTGTTGACAGATAGCTCAAGAGGAGAAGAAGGAAGAGAAGGAAAGTTTGCTTTCCATAAAGTTAACCTTTATGTTTACCCATTATAATGCTGCATGAATATCTGCTGGCTAGTTCAAAACTCAGTCTCTTAAAATAGAATTAGAGCATCCTGATGTGAACTTTCTAAAATACTGGTCATTCATTTACCAGTTGACTGCTCTAATACTATGCCAGCAACACAGGGAACATGGCCACTAATAATTAAGAAACCTTGCTGCTGGGGTTAAGAAACCACTTATCTGCCAGATAAACAAATGTCAACTTAAAGAGACTGAAATCTAACATACAGAAGAAGTTTTACCTTTTGAAATACCAAGGCATCAGAAAACATGCCTCAACAACAAAAACACATCTATAATATCATTAGTTGTAGCCACCACATGTTATTATTCCAGGTTTAATGGTGGAATAGGACCAAGACCCTCAAAATTTCAGGTTTTGTGCTTCCAGACATAAAAAATTATATACTAGCTCTGAGCTACATGCCATCAGCACCCAGGAGGAAGTTTTAATTTACTCCACAGCTGCTGTCAGCACTGCCTAGAAAATATATGTATATATACACATACGCATAGACACACATAGAAATATATATACATATATATATAGCTTTGACATCCTGAGTGTCCAGCCCTCAATCCTGTTGTGTGGGGAGGAAGGCCTTCTTACTGACGTTGTTGCCTACTTTCTTTGTTGCAGAAAAATACTACTTAAAAAAACTACTACAAAGGTCTCAAAGCATGTATTCAAATGCTTTAAAGACTAGGCCTCTATCCAGCAAACTAGCTCTTTAAAATATGCTAAAAGTGTACAGTTACTTCTTTTTGTACAGTTTATGCTTTTTTTTTTTTTTTAGTTCCTTTGAGTTAACTGATCCAAAGAGAAAACAACAAATGTAATTTGTTGCATCAGAATATAAGAAGCAAATAATTCTATGCACCAACCACAAGTACAACAGCAGCCATGCTGGGTCAGACACAAGACTGTCTAGCCAAGCCTCTGACAATGAAGAACCAGCCAAAAGCAGATGGCTAGGAAAAGGAGAGCTTTGGAACACGGCAAGCACATGATTCCTCTCCCAAGTATTCCTCCATCTGGGGCTTATTTGTTTCCTTGACTTGAATGCAACTTCCAAATAACTTCTCTCATAATCATCAAATTGGAAAACAGGAGATGTTGAACTATTTGCCATGAGCATTTACATAAAAAAAAAAACCAATCAAGTGTGACAATTTCTGCACACCCATTTTACAGGGCTTGTGGAAAAGAACATGAAAGATTTAGACTAGACTAAGCAGCTGAATTTTCCAAGATAAGGAGAGGTGTGAATGTACAGCTAAGACTCCTCCCTAGAATAACTGGTTTACACTTCAAATCTAACTTGGTAGAACAGGTCAGGTGTGCACACTGATTTCACTAAAGATAACCCATAAATGCACATCTTAAGCACTGTGGTAAGCAAATTTAGTTCTAGGAAAATGAGATTTTTTTAAATTCAGAGCAGGAAGTAATGCATACTTAACTTTTGATCCATCACCACTACTGCAGATATTCTCATCAATCACTAAAGTCTAAGTGTGCACAAGCATCACTTTGTATTACAAGAATGGAGCTTCATTGAACTGAAGCTTGTGTTGTTACAGCCAAATGCCTACTCCATACCAGAAAAACAAATAACCGTACAATCTGAACTGCAAGTAAAATATAGGGGTCTTCTATGGAGATGAGCCCCAAAATGAGTGCTCATAAGCAACAACAAAAATAAACATACATTCACATACTAAATATAATATGAATGGGGAAATTTAAGAAGATGTATTCCAGTTTAACTTGTTTAATTATGTATTGAACTAGTACAGTAGCTACTACCATGCATACCTTAATTTTTCTAGGCCAAATCTTCCCTATTTCTACATCATACATTGTATAAAGTGCTGTTGAGGTATTAAGACAGACATCCTGAGCAGGGACTCAGTATTTAGGTAGGTGGGATGGTTGTAAACTTTGATCCATGTTCTTGTCATTGCTGGCTAAAGAATTTCAGCTCTCATGGATGACTGTTGCTGGATTTCTCTATATATCTACACATACATAATTAAAGAAAACAATGTATCAGTATTTGATAACCCTATAACTGCTTCACAAGAATCCAGTAGTTAGCAACATCAGGTTAATAAACAGACAAAAAAGCTAAATTTTAAACTCCTCCTCACTACACATTCCAAGCTTACTTGGTACCCACCTAGTAGAGATAAGACAGTGAGACTGCAGAGAGATAAGAGGCACAAACCAAGGTCTCCAGACACATTGAGCCCAACAAAAGCATAAGATCCACACAAAATAAAAATAAACAAATAAATAACACCGACTTTTCAATCCCCTTGTGACTTAACACCAGATTTACAGTGTCAGCAAGGTCCCTTACTTCTTCACCAGGAGAGCAGAAAGCACATATGTGCCCTGGGAGCTTCTGTTAATTCCAAGATTAATGAGAGCTATTAATAAATGAAAACCCACAGGCCCCAACAGTCTAGCCCAGTTTTGGCAACTTCCATCATTCTCAGGAGCACGAGTCAACAGGGAGATGGTGCAAGAGCCCTTGTGTGCCCCTGAAACACCAGAGAGGGGACAGCCAGGCTCAGCGCTAACTCCAGCAACAGAGAAGAATGAGGAAGACGTGTTATGTCACCCTGGTACAATACAGCAACGCTTTTCAACTGTTGCTCTGCAAACACAGCTTCAGCAACTCTGCTCCAGAAGTGCTGCTGAGCAGCGGGAACTTCTACTGCAGAGCTGTGCACTGGCAGTGGCCCTGCACCAGGAACTGTGGCCACTGGGGAAGTGATTGCTGAGCTCTGAACACCTGCACTGTCCTGAGACAGATATCACCTGGGTGCTTCACCTGGCACACAGAGATTCCCCCTCTGGAGCTTTCCAGTTTCCACATACAACTGGAACCTGGTTCCTCAATTAACACTGAATAAAATACCACAGTAAGAACAAATGACCGACAAAAAGGGCTCTAAAACCAGCAGGCAAGCCTTGGAGGGTCTTATTTTATTATGTATGACAAAAAAAAAAAGAAAAGGGTGTAATGAAAATTACCAAGGAACAATGTCACCAAGACAGATGGTCTTCCTGGTGAAATAAAGCCCTCTGCTAATCACCCACATGGGTCTGGCTTACTAGAAACAAGCAGCAACTGCCCACAAGAGACTCCCCATAGTAAAACACATAAACACCAAAATTGAAGTAGATTTAAAAAAATACTGCAAATTACATAGAAAGTATATTTAAAACAGAGCTACTGGTAGAGAGCTTTCATGATAGTAACAGATTACCAAATGCAAGACAAATCTCTTGAACACCTCCCCTCCACACTTCCCAGAAGTGTTTCTGTATAACTTTTTGGCAGTTTCATTTCTCCCCTTCCTCCTTCTCAATTCCTGACACAGGAAAAGCTATTTTGGACTAGATTGTGACATGAAGTGACACAGCAAATGAACTTCCCTCCCAAATTTCATCAAGAGGAAACTGGAATAGTGCACGATGCTGCAGGTCCTCCAGTTTCACAAGGACATATAACCCTCATTCTTCATGTTGCCACTAAATATTTTTAAAAATCCACCTAAACATGAAAACAAAAAAAAAAAAAACAAAAAAAAAAAAAAAAAGGAACAAGATTATATTTGCAAGGAACAACTTAAAGGCAAGCGCATTCATTGACTTAATTTTGCAGGACACTCTGGTCCTTTACATGACAGAGGAGAGCTTCCTGACTTAATAATCAAGAGCAAGACATTCATATGACTAAGACCACAACCCACTTCTCCAGTCCATGCTCTCCCACCTCCTCCACCCCAGGCCTCCAAACCACAACCCACGCTCAGTCCTGCATCCCAGAGATGCTGCCTGCCACAACAGCGGCACAGACAGCCCCTTGCTGCTATCCCAGACAGAAGCTGCCGGCAGCCCATGCTCTCTGTGCACCAATTTCTCACAGCTGCGGGAAAGGGGAACGCCACGTCCGAAGGGCTGGCAGGCAGCACGCGTTTGGAAGTCCTCGTCTGACACCAGCTGATACCAAACTCAACAGTACACAACGAGAAGGGATGAACTCAGCAAGGAAGGGAACTGAGAAGCTGCAACCTCTCTAATTCCTGACTGAACTTGTAGTCAGCAGCCATCTACCCGGGTAAAAGAAAGCAATCAGGTACGGCAATCTTCTCTGTACATCTACATTTCGCAAAGCAATTCCAAAAATACCAGAGATGAACAGTTGTAAGTAACAGTTGCCCCTTACGGCCCATCAAAATCGTGTCTCTTCTCAGACTCTGTCCTACCGCCAAACCCTATGATTCAGGCGACTGACTTCACCGTAGAGCCAACAAGGCGATAAGCAGCGGGGCAGGGCTCCCGCAGCCGGCCGCCGCCTCCGGGGCACCGCGGGGATCACGTCTCCATCTCCTGCTCCCACTTCTCGGAAATCGAAGCTGTCCCGAGCGAGGTCACCCACCCCTTAGTTCGTACAGTAGGGCCGAGCCAAACTCTAGGCATCCCAAGGCACGGAGGGTGCCGCGGGCAGCGCCGCTCTCCCCGGAGCCGGAGAGGGGCAGCCCGCCAGCAAACACCCCGCGGGTTTCGGGGAGCCCCGTTCCGCCGGGAGCGCCGCGCCGGACCCCATCCCCTCCGTGCCGGGGCTGCCCTCACCTGCGGTGTCCCAGATGGAGATGTTGTACGGCCCCCACTGCTTCAGGTAGAAGGCGCCGCCGACGGTGCTGACCGTCTCCTGGAAGCGCCGCTCCATGTAGCGGTGCAGCAGGGAGGTCTTGCCCACGTTCATGTCCCCCAGCAGCACCACCTTCCCGTCCGGCTTCTTCATCGCGGCTCGGCTCGGTTCCCTGCCGGCGGCTGCTCCCGCCCCCTTGCCCTGCCCGGCCCGGCCCGCTCCGCCCGGCGGGGCCCCGGAAGCGGCGGGACGAGGGCCGCGAGCCGCCTCCGCCGGCAGCGCAAACTTCGGGGGCTCCGCTGGAGCCGCCGCGATCCGGCCCCGGCTCCGGCTGCTCCTCCTCCCCCGGGCCGGCCCGGCCCCGCTCCGCCCCGTCAGGGGGAGGGGACGCGGGCGGGGAAGCGGCCGGAGCTCGGCGGACCCTCCGCCCCTGACCTGCCCGGAGGAGCCGGCTGAGGTGTCCCGGCCGCCCCGGGGCACGCTGGCTCCCGATACGCCGGGTCTCGCGGGGGTGTCGGGGCCGAGTCGGCCTTGCTGAGCCTCCGGGGGATGCAGCTGCGTGCCGGGATGCTCGCGTCCTTCCAGCTGGAGGTGGCACAGACACCATCTCCGCAGCCCTCCTGGAGTACAAGGCAAAGCCCGCTCTTCCCGTTCCCCTCCTGGGGTGTACATGGAGGGGCAGAAAGTTGCTCCGAAATTAAGATCTCTCACAGAGCTGTGACAGCTGCCAGGCAAACGCCTTTGCCCTGGTGAGAGGGAGGTGTCAGGGATTATTTTCCGAGGGGCAGGTCTACCCAATTTCACAGTCAGTTACCCAGCGGCTGTAATTCAGATTAATTCCATTACAGAGATCTAGCCTATCCTTTTTGTATCAGTCCTCTTTATGCGAAACAAATCTGGGAAAAAATATTAATAAAATACAAACTTGCTACAAATTTTGGGTAAAATAAAGGGATAATTTGTAGACCAGCTGGGGGGGAGGAAGCAACTGTTAAGAGTATTCTTAAGAGAACCTACCATTTACTAATTTTCTCTCCCTCCCCGCAGAAAGGTGCTCAGATAGAAGCACTTTTCTTAATACGTGAACATGCATCCTCATTCTTGCATGTCTGGTGTTGAAACTGCTAGAATTTCTTTAGCCAGTCTAGGCTTCATATTTATGAGATGCTTTGATTTTCGCCTACCTGCTAAAAAGGATTAGCTGTGTGACAGTCTGGGTTTTTAAGCCTTGCCTGCTTACTTTACCTTACTCTGCTTTTACTGACCAGATTTGTAATCTTGCAGCTGTACCCAGTGATATGTAACTTCAGTTCAGAATAAAATACGCTCCAGATATTAAAGTACTGGAGATAGCCAAAGAGAGATGTTAAATAGTTAGGTAAAAAAAGCCTTACAAGTGACTTCAAGATATTAATATAGGATGTGATTCAGAGCTGTGTGCAATACTAATTAAGATGGGGGGGGGGGGAATTGTTGCACTTGGGTAATTGTGTGACACTATTTTTATGTGGCATATGCAGCCTTTGCCTCAGATTCCCATTTTCTGCCTGGATTTCTATCTCACTCCCAGAGTCAGGAAAAATATACTCATTGGATCAAAGTGCTTCTCTGGCACACCGCAAAGCAAGTAGGTTTCTTCTGGGTGCTTGGCATGAAAGTGTAAAAATAACAGAAATTCTCTTTGTATGGATACTGCTTGCAAATTCCCATGTGCAATATGTTTCACCCTTTTGAAGTGGCAGATGCCATTTCAGAAAGAGAAAAGAAGAATCTTGTATCAAAGAATTTAGACCATAAGGATCTGCACCTGTAAAAAATTCCTGGGTTTATGTACTCTTGCCTTATGAACTGTTTTTACTGTCCACGGAATAACAAAATATCTAAAAGCTTAAACATAGTTATTGATTTACAACAGTGCTTCTGTTACCAAATCCTAGCAGTTAAAGCACTTAAAACAATTATTTCTGAATTTTACTCTAAAATTCTGCTGTGTTTTAATTATTTGCAATTAATTGTGAAATGTAGGTCTTTCTGGGATTCAAAACAAGTATCAATAGTTTCTAAAAGTAAGCAGAGAACTTAGGACAGAAAACAGTCTGAATAATAGGGTGAAAATGCAACTGGGATTTTAGGCTCTGTTAATAACACGCTCTATAAAAAGAGAAGTCTGCTCTCTTCACAGATGTTTTCCACAGTTTCTTGAAACACATACCTACATCCTCACATATTTGAGTGGGTGTTTCCAGCTAGCAGCAGTCACACAGACAGGGGACTCTCCTGAAAGTGTCACCAGGCAAATGTCACTGATGGCAATATAACACTTTTGTACGTAAAACATAGCCTAGCTCAACCAAATTCATCTGGTCCAGTACTGGTTTGGACCTGGTGCCACAACTAACAACTCTTAACTCAGCAAGGGATGTGCATTATCCCACTGGTATTCACCTCCCATTACACTGCCTACTTAAAGGGTCATCTCTGTTTCACAGCAATCTGTCCCTAATAATCAGATGCAACAGGACTGGAGGGTGCTGTGTGTTGTTTCTGATCCTTGGGAGAATTTAGGACAGTGCTGATCTGAACAGGGTCAAGGTATGTCACAGGGCTCCTGAGGTGAGCCCTCAAAGAGTCAAGTTTGTGAAGTCCTCAGCAGCCTGAGCTCCCACTGACCTCAGAAAAACACGCTCACTAGGCAGAGCACAGTGTGTTTTGTTATTACTGCCGACATCGCCTTGGATGAGTGCACTCCCAACTACAGCATGCAATTTAAGTCATCTCTGGTTAAAGTCAAAAGGCTCACGATAGTCTGTAATGCAATATAAATAATAACACAGCATATGTGAAAATATTTGGGAAAACATTAAGAGCCTGTAATTTGCTCTCTAGCACTCAGATGTATTGGCCTGTTGCAAGATAATTTCCCCAAATCACTGAGTCGTCTGTAGCAAGACGTCTCCACAGTAGTCAGCATGGGCATGAAGAATGTCAAATTGCCTGATAGGAAGGAATATGGAATACTTTACTCTCTAAGTAGTGCATGTATGTGGACTACATACATTGTCTGGCGTTTGTTTTTCATTTTAGAGCATCTGAGGACACCTTTAATTACAACAAGGTTGTTCATTAGCCTTCCTGACAGTGTGACAATGTGCTCACCATGGTTGGTCTCCGGATCTTCTGAAATTCAGACACTTGGATTAGGGTACAAAGAGGGACAACACATTAAAGTTTCTTACCCACTTCTGTGCTAGAGTAAGACCTTCCCAAGAGTAAGAATGTTAGCCTTGTACACAAGCCAAAAACCTGAGCCAATAATTACTGTACTGACGTCAGGGTAACTCAACCTTTTTAGTCTCCCGCAGTATGAAAGCTGCTTAGTATTGCAGGAGAAAATTAGAGCCTGTTTATTTTTTGCCTTGCCAGCCTTCCCTGTATATATATATATGTGTGTGTGTGTGTGTGTGTGTGTGTGTATATATATATATATATATATATATATATATATTTTCCTGCCTATGGTCCTTATTTGGTATTCAGGCTAACAATATTTTGTAAGTTCACATGAGGTGAAATGTTTGTCACAGAACAAGGCTGTTTTTTGCTGAGCTGATCTTATTTTGGAGAAAAATTGAGCAAGTGGTTGAAAGGATATGTCACATCAGCTACTAACTGCTGCCCCCAACATGTCACAGGTGTGCTGTGGACTTGGTGTTCAGCACCTCAACCTGCCTCCTTTGTGTCCTCTACCAGTGTCTCTGTGTTTTGGTATGTTGAATCTCCATAACCTGATGTGTGCTTTCTGGAGGTACCACAGGTGACCTCAATGGGACTGTTTGTAATGATAACAGTGGTACAAATTCACCCTACTTTTAAAACATGGAAGAATCCATAACTTATAACCATCTCTGTCTCAGTTACCTACTGAATCCTAGACAAGGCTTTACAAACCAAAGAGAATGACAATAAGAGAGGCTTATTCCTTGTCCTTAATACGTGCTGTCACACCAGTGCTTTGTTGCACCTCTTCATGAAGCATGAGGTCACTGCAGAAGCTACAAACAGGTACCATTTGGTGAACCACAGCAATTTCTCGTTTTGTTTCTGCTTATTGCCTTCCTTTATGAGTTCTTTCTTCTAATGAGCAATGAGTTTACTCTGTTTAATGAGTATGCATGCTCATGAAACAGAAATATTTGCCCTCATCATCTTCCAGACAGCTGTAACTAGAGCTCACTCTCAAGGTGCTTTCTTTCAGGCAGGAAGTCTAAAATATATAGACAAAGCAGTGGCAATGTGATTAGTAGCTGTGTAGCCTGAAAAAGCTATTCTTCTGCTTTTTGTTATTTATTCTAACATATACTAGGTTCTTCCTCTCCACCGCACAGGTTCTTCCTCTCCACCCCACAACCTAGATGCCCTAATCAAGGGAAATTGCTTGTTCTGCTTATCAAAAGCTAGTCTGCCCTGCTCTAGGGTTGCAGTTCCACACCTTTCTCCCTCTCCTTTTCCTGGCATTTTTCTTAGGCTGGCACTGGCTTTGGCATGACAGCTGAGCTTGACAAGCTGATGAGAAACCAGCTCAGCAGTGACTGTGAGTAATTTTCTGCTGGTTTTGTGATCAGGACAGAGGAGGCTGATGAGGCAGCCCATGGTTGGAGGCACTGAGCTTCAGTCCCCTGGGTCTTCAGCTAAGCACTGCTGGCTGCTCACTTTCTCTTGGCAAGTGTTCCTGCTCTACCTCATCTTCAAACCTTGCAGGTTTTGGAGCACCTCAGATGTAGGACTGTTCTTTCACCAGGATTGGAAAAGTATTTCACTGTATAACTTCTGCCTGGTCAGTGTCTGAATCACGCCACACTGACAGTGAGATGGTGAACCAATCAGCTCAAGACATCCTTATCACAGAAAAGCCTGATCTGGATGATTAGAATTTGCCTGTGTTACAGGCCGTTGAACATCACGTCTTAGATGGAAATCATGAAGCAACCTGAGCTATAGATATACTCAGCCACTGAGTGAGCAAAAATAAACTCTTCTCTGATGCACAGGTGCTAGAGATGCAGATGAAAATAGCTCAGGAGGAGCTCCCCACCCAGGTCTTTAATAGAAAGTTAGTTTAGTCTTTGTTGCTAGCACTGTGTGGAGGGAGCAGCCCTGCTGTGCCCACTGCTCCAGACAGCTCGCTTCTCTCCTTGCTGGTACTTCCTGCTCACCAAAATTATCTGAGCCCTGCAGTACCTTGTACCGAGACTGGCGAGTTTCCCTGTATGAAGGAATCAGATGCTCTCATTTTTCTAGACTTTTTTTACCTGAGTTTCAGGGGGA